TTCGTATGAAATAATTCTGGGGTGGTGGGGCGGGGGGGGTGCAATGGTATATCTTTTTTCTGAACAAATTATTTCAAATTTAGCCATGTAATGAACTGGATAAATGTATGTCGTCCGGAGCCTCCACCACCCAACACGGCTAAACTAATTAAATTTGTCACGCGTACGAGCGATTAACATGCCGTTTGTTATTGTTTCAGCTCACCCAGAAAAACAATTCTCACAATAAACTTCAGCAATTGGATACTATTTTATTTATTTAAAAAACAGAATTGACACATTTGTTTGGGTTATGTTGGGTGGTGGAGGGTGTTAACGACACAATTATCCAGATCATTACGTGGCCTAACCCAAATATCTATTTGTGAATCATGAAACTGGATAAAAAAAACGTACGTTAAGTCAAATTATTCGCATTATATTCAAATGTTGTTAAAACACATCTCGGCAATCCATCTGCGGTGGTTATTCTCTTGGACACGTTCCCTCCTTTGGCTGTCATTCCGTCACCGGCCACGTCACTCGGTCATAACTGAACAACACAATCGCAATGTATGGGATTTTCATTTAGGGGTTGGCACAAGTGGCGAGCAAATTATTCATTACAGCAATGAATGGGAGAGACGCGATGATGGGCCGAGAATTAAAGGGGTGAATGCTGTGAGCAACAGAAAACTAAAGCGGCCAATATTACTAAAAATCAATAGCTAACAATGGCGAGGAATGGAAATCAGTATGAAGAACCAGGCACATTAGTTAGCCGACTAAACACTGCACTCACCCATAACCAACGAGCTCGCACTAGAGCTACAACCTAAGGGTATACAACAGCCAGCCAGCTACTGGGCTATATAATAGCACTTCCACAAACCCCAACTACAGTCAACCAGACACAAGTTCCAGTCCTGCTCTTACCAACTACCCATCCGGCCACGACCACTAGCCCTGACAATAACCATCCAGCAACTAGCCCTAAACCATAACCAACCAGTCACTAGCACTATCCCTGTCGATAACCATATAGCCACTAGTCCTAGCCATAACCAACCAGTCACTGACATTAGCCCCGTCGATAACCATCCAGCAACTAGCCCTAAACCATAACTAACCAGTCACTAGCCCTGTCGATAACCATACAGCCACTAGCCTGTACCAACCAGCCACTAGCACTAGCATTGACGATAACCGACCAGCCACTAGCCCTCACACGGACCTCTAAACCATCTTCCAGGATAACGCAAGGGCCCAGGTAACAACATGCTTTCGCTCCGTCTAGCCGCGTGCATCGCAAAGCCTCTCTCGCAGGGGGAAGGCTAAGAGGCCGCGAGATCGAGGGGGGGGAGGGGGGCACGAGAAGCCGAGGGGGGGCAGTGAGGCCACGGGAACTCGGCGCGTCACCTGCTGCTGTGGCCGGTCAGCGAGGTGGCCCAAGCCGGCTTGGCATTGGCCGCTGACGCTCGCCAGGCGAAGCAGCGCGTCCATCGGCACCGCCACGAGGTCCATCTCGTAAGCACGCACACAATCTTTCAATTAATTATAAATGACGGCGCATACAGCACTCGAGTTTTACGGCAGCGGTGTCTGCCGCGCGAGGTACAAAAATGCGTTGCTCGCTGCAGCGTCCACGTGTTGGCAGCTCGCAACACGTGCGCTGGGGTGTGACGTCACATCCTGTTCCGGGCGCGTCACCGAGTAAAACGTCACATCCTGTTGCTGATTTAATTTGTATTTAAATTATTATAAATAATGTTGTTGTTATTGTTGTTGTTAAGCCATCACATTTTTAACACCGCAGCGAAAAAAAATCGCTCGAATTGGAGAAACGAACTGGTGTCAATTACGCTTTCATCTCGTTGCGTGAGTGTGCGTAGGGGGGGAGCGGTGGTGCTGCGGTTAGCGCCACGCCGCGCTACGAACCCGGCCACTCGAGTTCGATTCCCGCTCACGGCCAACTCCGGGGACGATTATCTGAACCTGTCCTGGGCCTCCCCTAGGTAGACTCAGCCTCCAATGAGTACCCGGTGCGGTGTGTAGTAAACATCGCCACTGGGGAGACAAAGGCGGTCGGGCGTACTGCTGGCCACCCACCCCCTCGTGTACCGTGCCGGCCTTCATAGCTGCTCGCTAACAGCACTTGCCCCTACAGTCTGTCAAGGCTACACGGGGGGTCTTTGTCTTTGTAGGGGGGAGCGGTGGTGCAGCGGTTAGCGCCACGCCGCGCTTACGGAAACCCGGCCACCCGAGTTCGATTCCCGCTCACGGCCAACACCGGTGACGATTATCTAGGTCGACTCAGCCTCAAATGAGCACACGTGTAACGCGCGTTGTGTAGTAATAATCGCTGCGAGGGAGACAAAGGCGGCTTTCAGAGCTGCGACTCGCTCACAGTAACTTGCTCACCAACAGAATGTTCTGGGACCTTTGCAAATTTAGTTTTTGCATAATTACGGTTTATTGCGCGACCTTTTAATAAATCTACCGTGCATAAAGCAGGTGGTGTAAGCTGTCACGAGACTTTTCAGCAGGAGGCAATGCACAAAAAAAATGTGAACAAGTAAACCCGTAAAAACAAAGTTTTTCACTATAAATCCTTTATGTGCGTGGCGGCTCGAGTCCTCTCGTCCTCTGGCTTGAGATGGCTGCCACCTATGGGTCAGATGATTGTCTGCCACCATTAAGCAATTGGTAATTAAATATTTAATTTGTTAAATTTTGGATTTTTTTTTCACGAAAATTAATTGTCACACACAACGAGACTGTGTGGAAAATGTCAGCTCGATTGGATCACGGGAAGTGGGTTAAAAAACGAGCGAAAGATTTGCACGGTCGCAAGCAAGCACGCAAGCAAGCACGCGAACTTAATATAAAGGATTTAAAAATAAATTACCATTGTGGATGTTGGCTTTCGCGACCAATATCCATAAGGGGCCGTCCATAAATGACGTCACGCGATTTTGTACGATTTTTGACCCCCCCCCCCCCTCGTCACACGGCGTCACAAAAAGTCAGACCCCCCCCCCCTTCAAATGTGACGTCACAAAGCTCTGCCCCCCCCCCCCAAAACCATATTTCCATTTTGAAAATAAAACATGCTTCAATTCGCTTTCAACTATTGTCATTGTAGTGCGTATTTAATGTGGCGCTGCACTCTGATGTTGTAGGAGTGTTGTTATAACAATTAGTGTTGTTATAACAATTCTATATTTATTTAAAGTTGCGCATTTTGATGTGACGTCACATTTCTCACCCCCTCCCCCCTCGTCACAAATGTCTGACCCCCCCCCCCAGGTGCGTGACGTCATTTATGGACGGCCCCTAATATACGTTTTTTTGGGTTCGATCGCCAATTAGTAAGATCTTGTCACGTACACAGAACTTACCAGTTCGTTACTAGCACAGCACACCGGTTGCGTTGGGAGAGTAAACCCACGACGTTCACAATTCGAATACGACGTTTCGCCTGTAATTACAACCAGCCTCATCAGGCGGCCAGCCAGAGTTGTGGACAAATCCTCCTGTTTGTGTCGTTCTCAGAGAGATAGCTGTGATGTCACCTCTGGCGAAGGCCAGAGAATGGGGACGTTAATGTATATGCCTATTAATTGCAATGGTCATTCATTACCGGTTGAGTTATTCGTAGGGTAATCAACATGCATTATGCATCTACAATGCCCCAACGTGTGTGCTGCCTGTCTTCACCAACCAGCCACTGAGCAGGAATCGTGGTGTAATAATCCCTACGACCGGCTTGAGGAGGCCCTCATCCAGCAGTGGATGGTAGCTACCAGCTCAAGTCTTAGCCCAGGACCCTAGCTGGCCCAAAATAGCCCACATTACTCGTGTACGCTGTTCATCTGGATATGGTGACAAGGAAATGTACAGGGTTGATCCAGATGTCTTGTGACCCACATTTAAATCTCTAAAACTTTGTGTTTTTTTTTTAAGTAATATTTATTTAAAACAAATGAACATGCAAAAGAAAAAAGATGTTAGGGGGTGAATTAATTGGCGGTCACAGGACATGTGGACCACCCCGTTGAGCCATGTGCTGTCGGTGGCGAGATGTTAAGTACCTCGCCTGATATACAGGAGGTCGTGCGTCCGATACTGACCCTGAAGGCCTGTATATTTAGAAGTTTGCATGTTCTCCCTGTGATCGTGTGCATTTTTCTCCGGGTCCTCCGGTTTCGTCCCTCCACATTTAGAAACATGCGTTTCGAGTATTTGGCTGATATAAATTTCCACATGACAAGCCACGTCGCTGAACTATCATTTGTCACCAGGTGGCTTCTGAAAAATAGTTGTATAGCTCAGTGGGCCTTACCTGGTAAAATAAAAATGGTTTAGTTTTTAATCTATGGTTGAGATAAATTAACATTCAGTGATGGTGATGGCACATTAATTCAGAAGTACTGTACATTGTTAATGTCTATTGTAAAAATGTTGTGGTAATAATGATCTCTTCTGCCATGATGTTCGTGCTCTGCTAGAAAAACTGGCCACCTTCATTATGCGCACTGCCTGGTCGCAGTATAAGACTCAGAGTTCAGCTCTTCAGAGTTAGGGAATTTCAGAGAAATACTCTAATGCTAATTCACATTTCTCACTGCACGTATGTCCTGAAAACACTGGAACATGTGTTGCTGCAATTCTTTAGCAGTTATGAGAAGTTTGGCCATTCCCAAACACTGAATAAATAGAAAATAATCCCTGAAGAAGTTAAACTAAATCATACATACACGACGGCATTTAAATTTAAATATATTTAAATACATTTATGAGAACTGCATGTGTTACATCGTGCAACCGTGAGAGATGGAAAAGGCTTTGGGATGCCTTCATCCAGCAGTGAATTGATCTTGGCTGGTAATGATGGCTGAAGATGATGATGATCATGACGAGAATTGCATCATGGGATGCCTGCAGACATTTGGTTGTGTTGGAGAGCAGCGAATGACCAAAAGCACACTTGAGTACAGACTTACTCAACACGTGTCATCTCATTCCAGAAGGGTAATAAAAAGTTGCCACTGGATTAGCACATTTATTTTTCAAGTTTTACTAAAAAAATATGGCATACATTACCAGATGGAAACATACAACAATGTGCAGCCAATAGTACAGTAACGATGGTTGCTGTTGGATGCCTTTTGAGAAAGAAACAGAAAAACGAGGCACAGCTTTTCCATTTTATAACTTGTGATGCGTGACGACCGTAACATACGCGCATTTAAAATTGCCTCTTTTGAAGCATGGGCATTCCTTAGCTCGGCTGAGTATCAGGAATGCAACTGCACCAAATCAATCACCAGGTACTGCAGACAGGAGGCGTGGTGACTACATTTAAAGTTTGAGGCCGCAACGGGCGTAATACTTTTAAGATAATTTTCAAAAGGGAGGGCTTCACAGAAGCCAAATTGCGCTGCAGAATGACACTAACATAGTCTGGTATTCCATACCACTGTGAGAGAGGTCAGTTTCTACAATTAGCTTGGAGATAACCCCTCGTTATCTCATGCAAGCACCACCCATCTCTTGGGACATTAAAGTTCTGTTCTGCAGACTTGTTGCCTGGCTTCAGGGAATGAAACTCGTCAAACGCACATGGGAGATTTACCCTCTGCGTTGCGAGAATTTAATTGCCCTGGCAGCTGCTCACGGGAACACCAAATGACAGAGAAGTCCGCTGCTATAATGCGTGATTGCACCGACTTCACGACACAGTCACTTACAGAACGTTCTGTGTTGCTGGAAGTCGGCGTGCATTTTTAGCGCTCGTATGGAACTTACATAAGACTTCACTTGGAGTGTCCCCGAAAAGATCTAATCAGCTCCTGGGTGTTGATGCATTTAGGTGTTCCAACCGTAACAACCAGAACATTCTTGCGGCTTTTTTTTTCTTTCTCAGATTGAGATTGAATAGATTTAGCCAAAGTGACCTGGTTGTTTTACTCAGAACAGGTGGCATACTAGTGCACCAAAAGAAACGCTGTCCTATAGCAGGGCACTTGCAGCCAAAGTCCTTTCCTTGAAATGATGCGGACAAGAGACTCGGATTATTTCTAACCCCTCATTGCAGGACAAGCAAGACGTGTAAATAAATATGCAAACTTTTAGTCTATGACCTCAACACGTGACAACATTCTTCGTACAGTCCATTATCAATACCACTTGTTGAAATGACACATGCAGGCATACACGCTTACCAAAATATAATGTGAAAATAAATGCTCTATTTTAAATTAGAACGCGTTGCGTGTTAAACAGTTTTTTTTAATACATCTCATAGTGCACGGTTTCCTAAACACCATTCCTCTCCTACATCTTTCCACGTTTACCGATTTTCTCAGTTGAATTGCAGATTAAGTCGTTACATGCTGCAAATGCCTGGTGGTTGCTAAACACATCCCACGTGATGTATGGAACGCCGTCTTTGTCACATGGCACTATATGCGGTCGTTGGCCAGGGCTAAGAGAGCTGAGCCCTCTCAAACCATCGTGCATTCACACACAGACTACGCAGTGAAATCTTGAGTAGCCGGACTCGGCAAGAGAGTAAGAAACTCACGACTAGCAGATCTTGTGGTATACGGACACAATGTGTGAATCCATGTCCTTGGCAATGACGTATACCACATGCTCTGTTAGTGGTAACATTACACTCTAATTTCCATACATTTATAACAAAACTAATTTGATTGGTTCAAAAATATTTAATTAATTTTAAAAGTCTACTTGTGAATATTACATTGCAGAATCACGAGAGGTGACGGTAGCTTTGGGAGGCCACCATCCAGCAGTGGATTAACCTTGGCTGCTAATAATGATCTCAGGACCCTCAACGTTTATTTGCAGCCTCCCCACAAGGATATTTTCTCTCGCTGGCTATGTATGGCACTATGTTTCATAGTCGAGCGCACGCAGCGTGTAACGACATAAACACGGAAAGGTAGTCTGCGGTGGTTCACGAGGATTGGAGCTCGAGAAACCCTGCCATGGCAAAACAACTAAATGCGTGGCGAGTCACGGTGTCATCGCCCGGGCCGTGTCTCTTCCTCCCCACGCGCCCCCGCTTGCGTCCTCATCGCACGCAGCTGCTCCTCCAGCGTCCGGATCTGCGCCTGCATCTCAGCACGGTCCTGCATCGCCCTTCGCGCCACCTCCGCCCGCTCCTCCTCCACTCGACGTAGGTACCAACCCTCCAGGTGGGACGAGACTGCGTCCAGGAAGCACCGGGTCACCTGCAGGGCGTCCCTTGCGCCAGGCGCGTCCCCCAGGCCCAGCGCCGCCAGCTCCGGCGAGCGGCGTGCCGCACCACCGCCCGGCTCCAGGAGGCCCGGGCCCTGCGCCCCGTGCTCAAACGCGTACGCGGGTTCGACCGCCACGACGGGGGCCGCCAGCTCCGCCGTGGGCGACGCGCCGTGTCGCAGCGAGGGCGGCGCTGTGGGGCTGTGCTGCAGGCTAAGGTAGAAGCCACGGCTGCCGCCTGCGCCGGCGCCGCCGCCATCGCCGCCCTGCTGGGACTCCTGCCGATCGGCGGAAGCAGAGAAGGACGTCGACCGGGAATGCGAAGGCGACGGCGCGAACGCGTCTATCGTGCTTGTACCGGCCGCCTCTTCCTGCCTGGCGGAAGCACTGCCGTTGGGTGCCTGGCCAGCCGAGGTGTCATACGACTGTCCGGCGGCTGGCTTCTCTCTGGGTTCAGGGCGAGGGGAGCCATCTTGGAGGCGGCTCTCCATGGCTTGAATCTTCTCGAGGCACCAGGCTTGCAGATCCGTCCTGATCTCCTGGCTCACAGCCTCCTGGGGCAAAGAACGCAAGGAATTCAGTGTGCGCATGCGTGCAGGGTAGAGAGAAGGCTTCCTCGTCAACCAATATCAATGACGAAAATGGCATAAGACCACAGACACTGCTCGAAAGCACAAAGGACCAGCCACTGTAATCAAAGCCACAGTTACTCAATATGTAAGCTGTTCATGGGCCGTGTTGATGATGAAGCTGTTCAAGTGGACCTCCAAGGAAACCAAGGAAGTAGAAAACCAATGAAAGGAGGACAGAGCTTAAAAAACCATTGTTGTACCGTACATCTATGATCCTATGTCTGCGCTGTCCGCCTTCACCAACTTGCAGTGACCAGCGTTGTGAGGTTTGTTCAAACAGCCCCCACGACCTGCACGGTGTGTGGGGAGGCCCTCATCCAGCAGTGTACTGACAAAAGGGCTGTACGTGTGTATATAACATATCAGCCATGAATACAAAATTAATGAATTTGCAGTCAGGGTACAAGGTAAGTGGATTTTATGGCATTTTATTGTTGGTAGACGGTTAGTCAGAGGCACATTGTTGGTAAATGCGCAACACAATTTTACAATGTCTCAGTGGATTACAGGTAATAAAAGCATTTACAAAAACAAGTATTACGTGATATAGTTCTGCTACATGCTTGGCAGTTGGCTGAGTGACTGTCTGGCAAAGACACGTTACTGCAGCCTCAATCAAGGTGCTGCGCAGACATTTGTCAGCACATTCTGCTGGAACGGTATCACACCACTGACATTTATTTAGTGTTACAAGCCACTGAGATTGAGTGTTACAAACCATGTGGTGGTTGCGTGCGATTGCGTGTTTATATGAGATGCGGCATGGTTACGATTCTGGTACGGAGGTCATGGTGGTAATGGAAATCGTGGATTTAAATAAAGTCCATGAAACATTGGAAATGGCTGTCGAAACACATTAGAGTAGGCACTTATATGGTTGGACTGGGGGGGAGGGAATCCAGAGTTTGGCAACCATGAGCAATTGGCCCCTGGAGACACACAGAGAAACACGGAGATAGTGACATACAAAGACAAAGATACACAACAACAACAGCCGCCATTCACCACTAAGTGACCCAGCCAACGCAGCCTCGCCTGCCAGAGAACTTTAGAATCAGAATCTTGATACTGGAGGAATCCGATGAGCTATGAAGCTCTTTTTCACATATGTACAGATCTTTCAAGGATCTGTGGGCTCCTTGCACAATCCGGTCTGTTTGAGACTGGGCAGTGGGGGGGGGGGGTGGAGTAAGACCCTTGCTCCCCACCTTATGCTGTGACCTGTCCATGAATATTATTTTTTTCTTCACACATCTCGGCCATAAGTTTGACTGTTTACCTTGACAAATCATAATGATGTGTATGTGCTCCAGTCGGTTGATAAATGTTGGAGAGGGGCGTGGTGGGGCAGTGTTGCCGTGTGCGTGCGTGCGTGCACCTGTTGGGCGAGTACGTCCCTGCGTTCGGCCACCGCTCGCTGGTCGATTCGGTGCAGGCACTGGGTGCCCTCGGCCGCGACGCGCTCCTTTGTCAGCTTGTTGAGCCGCAGCAGCTGCAACGGCACCGCACCGGGCGTCCACGTAAGCACGATCCGCCGATACCGACCACGGCACGTGGCCGGTACGGCGACAGTGGCGCCGCTGGCCCCACTGGGGGCCCTGAACAGAATTGTTTTTTTCTGGGCCCTACTTTGAAATTATGTCATCCGAGTGGGGCGACAGAAGAGATGCTTCTTCTTGGTTCTTTCGGTAAAGTCACGTAGAAGGGAAATAATAAAATAATAAAAATAAAACATAATAAAATAATTCTCACGACGTTTCGGCCACAACAGCAAGCAGCCGTCCTCAGGTTAAGAACAGGTCTGTCGGAAAGACAGCGTCTGAATGAGAACAGGTCTGTCGGAAAGACAGCGTCTGAATGAACACCACCAGGCTTGGCAGACGCTGTCTTTCCGACAGACCTGGTCTTCACCTGAGGACGGCTGCTTGCGTTGTGGCCGAAACGTCGTGAGAATTATTTTATTATGTTTTATTTTTATTATTTTATTATTTCCCTTCTATGTAACTTTACCGAAAGAACTAAGAAGATGAATCCCTGCAGTCACGGAAGCTTTAAATCGAGAAGAGATGCTGTATAGACAAGAGATATGGATGTAGTGAGATAAGAAACACGTAGACAAAAATAGACATGTAATGGGATGAGAATACAGAGATCCAGGCAAGATAAGATATTTGCTTTATGTGAATTCACTTATTATGTGTAGGATTTGAATTTTGAGATATTTGATGGGCTCCTATATATTTTTGTCTCCAGAATCCGGGGTCCACTGAGCTACTTTTGGAGTATTTGGCTGCTATCACGCGATGAGCCACTTCGTTGAGATATTATTGGTGGCCAGGTCGCTTCTGAAAAAGAGCTCAGTGAACCTGACCTCGTAAAATAGAAATAGTTTCTAGTTTTAATTAAAAAACATTGTTTATAGTTTACTGGGGGTGCTGAGTTTTTACTTGGCTTACTTAATGCCTAAGTGCTGCCACTGGGTGGCCTGCAGCCACTGCTGCTGAATCTACCGTGGTGCAGAGGTCACAAACGGGTTTTGATTCCTTACCCGTACCCGTACCCGGCCGCACCAGGGTCGCAAACGGCTACCCGTACCCGGCCAGGTACGGGTAGCCGGGTATCGGGTAGGGTACGGGTATCGGGTACCCGGTTGTGACCTCTGCCGTGGTGGCACTTGGATGCAAGAGGGAAGTTTGGCCAAGGCGACCGCTTCGTACCAAATAAAGTCACCTGCCTCACGTCCTCTTCCCCTAGCGCTCACGCGGCCCCCCTCCCGCTACCCCCCTTGCCTCCTCCCCCCTCTCTTACCTATATAACCTCTTGCCACGGCAGCTCTCCCGCCGACTTCAGCATTTTCTTGCTGTGGTTGTCCCACCTGATGAAGCTCGCTTGTGTTGTGATCGAAACCTCGTGATTTGTTTATTTTATTTTATTTCTACCTTCGTAACTTTACCGAAAGAACCAAAGAGTCTGGATTCCTGCAGTCACGAAAGCTTCAAATCAAGATTTAACCTGCCGTTTGTAAAGATGATTCACAAATAACATTCACGTGGAATGGTGCATGCTCGGAGTTATACCACAAGACAGAAAGAAGAACGGATGGGTCACAGAACAAACACATATAATTGACCGTTGAGAAATGAGTGGGGTTTCCACCGGACATGTGTCTAAAAGGAATGATAGCCAGTGGTCTAGACTAACAATTGAGTGACAGCCTCAGGAAGGAACACGCCCTTGAGTATGTCCACTGCAGAGGCGAAGTCCTGAAATCAATTCATGTGCATGTGCTTGATGGATTGTTACATTCCAGAAAACCCTCAAAACCTCCTCCATAACCTCCCAGACGCCGAGACATGGGAGAACTTGGCACAGGACCACTTGTACCTGGCGCAGTCTCACACACGAAGGTGCTGACACGTGGGCAGAGGAGAACCACTGAGGCTGAGAGGTCCGCAATCTACAATCGCCAACTCCTCCCCCACGGCCTCAGATCATGTGTATCCATCGAGCAGCAACCGGTCCTCTTGCACCCAAATTGGACTCATCGTCCATCTTCAGACTCACTGCAACCAACCCCTAACCCTGGTCTGATGCCATGGTGCTCATTGATTACGATGGATGAACGACACTGCAGGAGGACTGTGAGAGAAAGTGATCACTTGAGGTGGTTGGCATCTGACAGTGGATTTATCATGGCTGGTGATTATGATGATGAACACAATAAATGGAATGAAAATATAATAAAATAATAATACAAATTTTATGCATACAGTGTCTAAGTGCAACTGCATCTCAAGGTGCTGTACACATGGATGTGGTTGAGGGTGACACGCACATCAAGATAATTTTTTACAAAGGAAATTTCACATCTCGGATTTGTTTCAGAGAGAGGCAGCTGGAGATTCAGCGGGGCAGAGGGGGGGAGGCGATGACAGGATGTGAAAGGTGCAAATGAAGATGCTTTGTGCAGAGAGCGAGAGACAGTCGGTAATTGGCAGACGAAATGAGAAAGTTGTAAGCCTTGACTCAAGCAGATGGATGGAATCGGGATTAAATCCTTTAATGGAATTCAGGCCACATAGATCATGTGTGGTGGAGGGGTGACACAGTGATTAGCCCCCTACGTTATGAACCCCAGTTATATTCCCAGACATGGCTATGACATCAGTGGTGAGTCAAACCTGAAGCATTCCTGGGCGACTACTTCACCAACCTGCACCGACCAGCATGAAAAATGTTGTTGTCGAAGGACACCAATCGATTTGACAGCGGATATTGTTTTGGGGGGGGGGGGGAAATGAATGAGATATGAAACGTGTACAAAATATGAAAGTAAATAACAACTGTGCTTTGAAACAGACAGCTTTCAGCTGATGATGGGACACTGCCCATGGCGCATTCTGGTGGAAATTCCCCCCCCAGGTGGTACCGATCAAGCCCCCTGGGCCCTTGAGCTACCTGGTGCTTGGTCCGGCTCTCCACCTCCCCGAGGCGAGCGTTGACCCTGTCCTTGACGCAGTCGATCTCCGCCATGAGCTCCTCCCGCGTCGCCTCCATCTTCCCGTCGACTCGCTGAATCAGCGGGTCGCAGCGACATCCGTTGAGGGCGGCCTGAGTGCACGCGTGGTTGCAGCATCGAGACAATGAGAACAAATAACGGGCAATATTAACGCAGGGAGCACTACTGTGTTGTGTCACGGTGAGCACACCGGATTGGTGATCCAGAAGTCGCCGGGTTGGATCTCCTTGCGTGGCAGTTGAAGCAATGGTAATGTTTTCTTGCTTCCCTCCGTCTCTGTGCACCCGGCGGTATTAATGGGTGCGCTACAGTGAGTCGATCGGAAGGTCACGTATGGTGGGCCATAATGTGGGTACTTTCACCTGTTCCAACACATATGACCGGCGTAGAATTGAAGGCTGAATAACTCTCTAGGAGGGGCTCTCCCAGAGCTCTTCTTGTGGAGACCCTTTTTGGGCAGACAGTGGCCGGGTTGGAAGTAATCGCAGGGGTGCACCTATAAACTTTGTAGCAACGTAAGGCCTACGACCAAATCGCATGGAATGCGCCCAATCTCGTCAAGAGCTAGTAAGCTGGAGGGTGCTTGGATTTGATGACCACCGTGCACAGATTGTCAAGGCTTTGAAGCTGCTTGGTGGGCAGCAGAGGGCAGTGCTGCAAAATCCGTTGTTGTGCTCTACTTCTATGATCCCGTATTACGCTCGCCACCTTGAACCCTACGCCGGCAAGCATGAAATGTGGATAAATAACCCCCTACGACCCACACAGCATGAGGAGGCCCTCATCCAGCAGGTAGATTGAGAAGAGGGCTTTACAGTCGCCCCTCGTTGTACGACTACTCAATGCAATGTAATGAATTTCGCTCGAACGTAACTTACGAATTAGGAAACAAATTCGATATATACATTTTCGTAAAATTTTACATTTACGGAATATTAAATCTGAATTATAAATCCATGGGGGGAGACGAAGAGCAATGCTTGGTCCGTCGTTTGTCCACGCACGTACTCCATGCTGCGCCAGGTCATTTGAGTGGCGCGGTTTTTTCCTTTGCTGGTTTCCCACGCTCTTCGTGAAGCAGAATATAATGATTGACAGGGAGAGGCAAATCTCTATTTGATTTTACCAGGTAAGGCCCACTGAGCCTTACCTGGGGCCACAGATGCTCATAATGAAGGTAGCCAGTGTTTTTTAGCAGTTTTTATTTTACATTAAATATGTGCTTTAAAAAAAAGGTTTGCTGCATTCTTAAGTGTGATTTTATTACGTCTTGGGGCCGAATCATTTATTTTTATGTTGGAACGCATCTTCAATTATGCAATGGAAGTCAATGGAAAAATAGGGCTTGATATATGGCATTCCATTTTACAGACCACTTTTCAGGAACATATTTGTTCCGTATATAAAAGGGAGGCCCGTAAATGTGTCTGTTTAAAGGGCATGGTATCAAGTAGAACTCTGCATGCAAGGGCAGGAGTTTCCCACCCGCATTGCCATATGAGATTAATGTTATTCGCATGACAGGCAACCTAGTGTTTTTAATTATCAGAACTGGATTTTTCTAAATATAGTGCAGAAACAAATTAAATGTGATGGGTTTTTTGCATTCAGTCACTGGGGACCAGGCTTGCTAAACTTGAGAACACTGTTTCATAACAAACCAGTCCATGTGGGTCGATAGGTGATTATGTGAGTCGTCTATGGTCTTACATCGTGACAACTGACTACATTTTAAAACCTGGTATAATTACAACTCGGGGTGTTTAAGTCTATGGATCTCTCTCTTTCTATATATATTTGTTTATGGGATTCCATACAAGTCTGTGGTTCCCTTTGCAAGCGATTAGTGACCGGGCTGAGTCCATTAACGTGAAATAAACTAGTTTAATCACAACTCGGTCAGCAAAATGCTATGGATCTCTCAGTGAACCTATGCCTCTCTGTGCGAGTATGTGGGTCTCCGATAACCAGCCTGAACCCACCAACTCACTGCCTCTGAGAACCCAGTTCAGTCGACAGCAGGCAGCTGTCTGAAAACTCCGGATTCGAACCGAGGTGTTTTTTTCAGCGGTCTGCCGGGCTCGGCTATCCGACCTCTCCGACCTCACCGGGCCACGTGGGGCGGGCGCCGCACCTGCTTGAGCTTTCCCTCGCGGTCGCGGTACAGGGTGTAGAGCTGGTAGGCGCGCTGAGTCGGCGGGGGTGGAGACGCGGGCCGGGGAGGGGCGGGGGCCGCCGCCGATCCCTGCCGCGGTTTCCACCTCCTCTTGTCGTCACGGCGGCCGGATGCCGAATGGCTCGTTAAGTGGGCCGGGTCGGAAAACGTGATGCCCTTTGGAGGACGACGAGAAGAAGAAGTCAACAAACGAATGTGCGTGTACATGTACAGCCCCCGCTCTCACTCCACTGCTGAACGCCGTGCGGGTTGGTGGGGGTTCGCGTGAGAACCCGGCTTAATCGGTCCATTGCTGTATGAAGGTCATGGGTTTGTTTGACCATACTTTACCACGCCGGCCAGTGTAGGTTGGTGAAAGTGGGAGCATCGATGTGGGAGCATGGAAGTACAATACAACATTGGATTTTGCTGCACTGCCCTCTGCTACCCATAAAGTATCCCCGCAGACTATAAATATACACCCGATATAACGATTTAGCCTATAGACAACATGTAGGGAGCGTATCATTCTTAAAGGTATGAAAGAGAATGCTGATCGCCACATAACGGGGGCTGAGCTTTATAACTGATTTCTTTTCGTGCGATGGAGTAGTGGCAAAGTGGCACACTGCGCTCTGAACCTGGTGACCCGGAGTTCAACTCCCGCCTACGGCTAGCGCCGGTGGTGAGTGACCAGCGTGGCGAAGTATGGTAAAACAATCCCAAACAATCAAATCGGTGCAGGTAGGCCTTCATCCAGCAGTGGATTGACGAACGGTTGCACACGTTTGATATGGTGATGGCAACACAAAGCTGTACAGTCTCTCATACTCTGATACTGGCAAAAAGATCCCATGATATAGCTGCTCACACCGAGCTATGAACGCTCCGATACGTGCATTGTCTTTGTGCTGTTCGCTTTTTGGCGTCCTCTGGTCTGACACTGGTGAGACTAGGCCCTAAAGAAAGCTGTCTCTGGTGTAGGCCAATCAGTTTCAAAGACAATGCAGATATTATCAGCGCATGTTTTTTGTTTGCATTCTGACCACAAGTATTGTGGTTAATGCAGACATGATTCCTTGTAAAAGCTTTCAGTTTGGTGTTTTAACATCTCAACACCTGTTTTGTTGCCATAAAAAAGGGGAAAACCTATTCGAACACTCCTCTCGTCAATTGCCGTCTGCTTTCCACGTGAACGGAGATGGATGGGAGATGCGAGAAGCTGCCCTGCGATGCCTGCGGTTTAAATCGTCCGCTATTCACATCGAATCCTTCATTTTTCATTAAACTTGCTTCGGTTAGTGACTTTTTTTTTGTTCCACCCTAACAGCCTGGCGAATCAGATCTCCCCGCACAAAGCCCACACGTGTACTGCTTCAATGCATTGAGATCTCTTGAAGGACGGCATACGCACGTAGAACAGCCGCTGAAATCAGGACACACGATTCCGCAGGGGCACCGACTCCGACCGAATTCGCACATTCAAATGAAGATGCGCAGAATATTAACAACGCCAAGAGTCTCTTTGTCCGTGTACATCGACTATACCGCTTAGATTTTCCGCATCACATTCCATCTACAATGGCTTCCCCACTGAGCGATTATCTTGCTGCTACTGCTGTTGTTGTTGTTATCAATATCTCAAAAAACCCCTTTGTGCTGCCGACCCAAGATGTGCCGCGTCGGGGGGGCAGGGTATAAATAATAAATTGTAATCAAGGTGACGTGGTCTTTTTTTGCGTGTGGAGCCGCGATAACCCACCCGTGTGCGGTGTTGTGAGCCAGGCTCAACGTACCCTCTTGTGAGTCCCTCTCTGTGTCAGAGGCAGGGCGACGGCTGCCGTGGTGCCGGCGGCTGTGGCGACTGTCGGGGACGTGGCGGAGAGACTGAGCGGAGCGAGCTGCTTCCCCCGCCTCCCCGTCCTCTCCCCAGACCCGCCCGCTCGCTGGCTGCTGCTGCTGCTGACGCAGCTGCCGTTTGTGGACGAGCGATTCTTAAACACCTTCGGGGGGGGGGGGGGGGGAGTAAAATAGGCATTAAGACAGGCTACGTGATGAGACTCAAGAGCATACCTGTAAACCCCTTATCAGTGCCGAGCTTATTACAGACCAATTCAGACCTTAATGGCCCTTATAAATCTCAACGTTCATCCTACAAAGTCACATCACAAGGGAAAAAAACTCAAACAAATAGAATTAAAAAATGTTGCCCGTATTGAAACGGCTGTACACCGCATGGACTTGAACACTCAATTTCCCTGTACAAGAATATGGGTAGAACGTGTGGGTTGACATGTATGCTCGAGAGAGTCAATACAAGTCTGGTGTTGGCATGCTAAAACAGGTGCTGCTGGAAAGCATCGATCTAGAAGAGTGCTTCTCAAAATCGCAGTAATTGTGACCTCCCAACAGCACCGTTTTCTGCGATTACCAACCATCAGCTGCCTGCAATGTGAAGCGAGGGTCGGATTAACGCAGCAGCTTTAGAAGCTGCAGCTCCCTAAAGTCTTGAATTTTGATCGGCTTCCAAAAATACCTATAGCTTTTATAATGATGAATAGTGTAAGATTATAGCGCTCTATGATCAATCCTATAGGTCATTTGGTCATAAAAGCCATAGAATAACTATGTGTATATCACTGCCAGTGATGCGCCAAAATTGTATTCGTTTTGTTTTAGCCTCGACTAGACTCTCCACTTCGTATATCGTATTTGAAATCTGGAACTGAAATAGCCAAGGTGATGAACAATGCAGCGTTTGGGATGGGGCATGCGTGGTGCTAAAACGGTAAAACAGTAAAAGAAAGGCATTCCAGGGGGCTTAAAAAACATGTTAACACTCATAAAGGACGATCGTTGTTAATGAAAAGACGGATAATACACTGTAACATGATAGCAAATGTCATGTTAATAGCTTCAAAAAGTCAAAGGAATCTCCACTTGTTCGCCATCATTGCCAACACGTGCCTGGAATCTTCTCCAGGTGGTCTCCAGAGCCCGGAGGCACATTTCTTGTGGCCTTGTTGCAAATTCTCGAAAGTGTTCACACTTTTTTGACGCACCCTGTACAAAACTATACCAGCTCTGAGCCCCCATCAAACCTAATCCGGTCACACGTCTAGCAGTGGTTCAACTATGAATAATGCAGACTGGCTTTTTTGCCCGTCCAAGGGCGGGTGTATATTGGGGGGGGGTTGCCCCATGTGGAGTGACGTCACCCGCTAATGGTTATTGGGGAGGGGTGCGGCATGTGGAGTGACGTCACCCCCTCATGGTTATTGGGGAGGGGTGTGGCATGTGGAGTGACGTCACCCGCTCATGATTATTAATGAGAGGAAGAGTGCGGCATGTGGAGTGCGCGACCTTCTTGTGCGTTCGTGTAAATTTCCACGCGGGCATGAATATTAATGAAGGGGGTGGGGCCTATTTTTCAGTGACGTCACGCACGGATGTAGCACTGTGCTTGCGTAGATTAATTTTTTACCATCACTTTCTATAAATAAACGTAATATTTGAAGCGACTTTGCATAATGAATTATTCAATTCAGCTCGACCTTCCTCTGCGTTAGTGTAAAAATCCACCCACTCATGAATATTAATGAGGGGGAGGGGGGTGGGCCTCATGTGGAGTGACGTCACGCAGGGGGGTGGGCCTCATGTGGAGTGACGTCACGCGCGGGACGGACAGACATTTCTGGGTGATTATAGTAGGTAATGGGCAGTGCGGCGGTCGTTTGTGACGCCCCACACACCTTGTGGTTGCGAGGGACGGATCGTGAGCGCCTCTGCTGCGCGGGCGGCTCCCTCTCCTTTCCGCTTCGCCTCCTGGGCACGACGCTCGCAGCCTGCACGAGGAAACACGGGCAAGAGCCGGTGTCATAGAGCACGAGGAGGACGGCAAAGACGGCCTGACCGTCGCAGCCAAATGAGCGAGTGCCTGCGTAGGTGGCTAGGCGAGTGCCTGTGTGGACGTACGTGTGGGTGCGTTGGTGATTGTCTGCACTGGTAGTCTGGGGTGAATGGGCATGTGTTTGGGTGGTTTATTTGCACAGGCGGCTGGATGATCTTCTGAGTAGTAGACATGGGTACGTGCCTGGGTTGGTAACTGGGTGGGTGTCTTGGTGTGTACAGTGGTGAGTCTGTGAGTGGTTGTCTCCATCGGTGTCTGCATGAGTACCTGGGTGAGTGTCTGGTTGGGCATATAGCCGATTGCTTGGGCTGACTGCTGAGGCGGATGTTTTGTTGAGTGTATGGGTGAGTTTCAAGTTAATTTTGCTTAACCAGGTGCCAACTCAAGAGAGTAGGATAGTCTCATTTGCAAGAGTAACCTGGGGCATTGGTCTGCCAGTAGGGGGCGACGATTGCTAAGCATAATTCCAACTAAGTAATTCGCGGGTAATTTTCGAATTTGGCTAATTTGGCAAACCCTGACTCTAGCACTCTTGACGTCAGGTGATCTTTGACGTCCACTGTGAAGCAGCGAGTACCTGGGTGCGTGTGCAGGTATCTGGGTGGATTTCTGTGTGGCCGATTGGGGGGTGGTCCGGGTAAGTGCCTGGCTGCCTTTTTGTGTTTTAGTTTGTTGTCCTTCCCCCTCACCTCCGATCAGCACGGATGACTACGTACGGTGCCAAAGAAGTTCCACACACACATATGCCTGGATCAGTTCCTGTCTGAGCATCTGGGTGGATACCTGGCTGATTGCCTGGGTGGGTGGCTGTGTGGGTGCCTTGTTGGGTATCCTGGCGAGTGCCTTGGTAGAATCACAGCTTTAGCGTTTGAATAAGAGCCTGATTAGGTGTCTCGATGAGTGTGTGAGCACTTGAGTGAGTTAACGAGTAAGTGCCCGAGGGAGTATCTGGATGAATGTGCCTGGGTGAGGCTAATGGGTGAGAGTCTCGATGGGCGTCTCGGTGGGCGACCCGGTGGGCGGTGGGCGCGGCGCGGGTCGTACATGCGGTGCCCGGCTGAGCAGCAGAGCCACATCGGCATTGTCGTGCTCCCTGGCCACGTCCAGCGGCGTCAGCCCAGCCTGGGCACACGGAACCCACGGCACAGCAACGCTCATTACAAACGGCACAGCGCAACGCGTACAACGCAGCGCCACTTTGTCGGGAACGATTTTGCTTTTGATATTGCGTCTCGTACACACGATAGGAGCGACTCACGTCACATCTCTTGTCTACACATTTGAAAGAGGCACCCCCTCAGTGGCAGCTGTCCCTGTGGGGCACAAGGTGACTCAGCACCTGGCCTGCAAACCGGCCATTAGTCTACTGCTAGGAGGAGGGGGTGATGATTACTTTGTATAACCCAATTGAGAAATTTGGTCACAGTCCTACCCCAGCGTGACCTTACACAAAGCACCGCCGACCTCAACCACAGAGTTCGCCCCGGTAATGCCCTAACCCCCGGCGCGACCCACGCTGTTCTTGAGCGTTGGATTGGCCCCAGCCGCCAGGAGCAATCGCGTCACTTTCCTGTGGTTGAGCTGCGCGGTCACGTGCAGCGCCGTGTCGCCAAGCTGACAACAAAAATAACACACACACAAAGACAAAGGTCCCTCCTCCCCCGTGTAGCCTTTAACAGACTGTTGGAGCACGTGCCATTAGCGAGCATGCGGTGAGGCAGCAGCAACAACGGCAACACAATGAGTGGGGACAATTCAATGAATTGACAAAGTCCAGGGGTTTTGCGATTGGATTGAATAATCAATGCTTTATTGTCTCGTTTTAAATGGTCTCATTTATATTGTTTGTCTGTATTTACTGTCTCATTCACGTATTCACACCGTCTGTTCCGAAAGCCCGGCATTCCGTTTGTCCGTCAACTAAATTATGAGAGCCTTGCAGAAGGCCTGAATCAAAAAAGTTACGTAAAGTGGACGCCCCCCCCCCCCCCCCACACATGTGGGGGTACAAAGTTGATCCGACAGGTTTACAACAATTGTCGACCCCGCCAAAAAAATAAATTTATTTTGTAGGCATGTACGCCGACACACCCTGCATACAATAGAGTCAGTCGTATCTACTGACTCTATATATACCTATACACCCTACATACAATAGTAGTATCTCCACACATTCGGGGAGGGGGGGGGGTGAAGAAGAGGACATCAGTGGGGGTGACGGGCAAGGCGCAAAGCGCCAAAAAGCCGACAAGTCCTTAAAAGTGCAACATGAGCGAGTAATCTTATCTTCTTGGTTCTTTCGGTAAAGGCACGTAGAAGGGAAGTAATAAAATAATAAAAATAAAACATAATAAAATAAAATAATTCTCACGACGTTTCGGCTAAATTTCGATTTAAAGCTTTCGTGACTGCAGGGATTCATCTTCTTGGTTCTTTCGGTAAAGTCACGTAGAAGGGAAGTAATAAAAAATGAGCGAGTAATTTGCATAAATTGTAAATAATGTCTTCTACACGCATGAATCAGTGCAAGGATTGTGAGCACAGCCATCACTATGAATCATTACACCAATGATTAATTCCATATACGTTACATACATATCATTGCATACTAAGTTTTATATATCCAGTTAATTAACCGATGACATGTATTATCATGAACTTCAGAAATTCGTTTCAATCAGTGAATCAGCTCGTACTCTTAGGTTTTTTCGGTAAAGTCACGTAGGTTAAAATAAATAATAAATAATGCAAATAATAGAAGAAATAATACAAATAGAATAAAAAATCGTTGTGATTTATTCTTTTATTTCTATTTTTATCATTTATTTTTTACCTACGTGACTTTACCGAAAAAACCTAAGAGTATGAATCCTTGCAGTCACGAAAGCTTCAAATCTAGAATCAACTCATCATTCAATGCCTAGTTTCTGTCAGAGGCTTGAGGGTCCTTGTTCGATAAAGGAGGGCAGCACGCGAGAGCGCTCGGCACGTACGTACGTATTTATAAAGTTTAATCGTCACCAGGTAACGACCCACTGAACTATGCAGCTGTCTTTCAGCAGCGACTTCGCCAAAAATGACAGCTCAACAGTAACCACTCGGCCAGAATGGCTCTTGTTTAATCCCAGACCCTGATTGCCGGGCTCCCTTCCCCAACTGAACCACAGCGAAGTGGCTTAATAACGCCAAACTTCTTTCTTCTTGGTTCTTTCGGTAAAGTCACGCAGAAGGGAAATAATAAAACAATAAAAATAAAACATAATAAAATAATTCTCACGACGTTTCGGCCACAACGCAAGCAGCCGTCCTCAGGTCCTCGTCGTGAGAATTATTTTATTATGTTTTATTTTTATTATTTTATTATTTCCCTTCTACGTGACTTTACCGAAAGAACCAAGAAGATGAATCCCTGCAGTCACGAAAGCTTAAAATCGAAATTTACCGCCTAACCTCTTTCGTGCCGTACGTAAGCCAACCGCGCTAATCCGAGGCGTGGGGATGGCCGTGAACGGCCGCAGTCGTCAAACCTCGTTCTTTTCGTCGACGGAGCAGAAAGCGCTGATGAGGATGCGCACGACGGTCACGTGGTTGTAGCGGGCCGCGATGTGCGTGCACGTATCGCCCGTCTGCACGCAACGCACACACCGCACAAAAGTCCGCTCCCCCACAAACCCTCCGGCGCCAAACCCCCCAGGGAGTCCCCCAAAGCGAGCCCCCTTCCTCCCGCTTAACTCTCACGGTTGTGATAATGATATGCACTGTCCTTGAAGTTGATTGGCCCACACCCGAGACAGCTTTTTTAGTGTAAATGCTTACCCCGAGCTCTCAATACTCTGATAGTGCGCTGTCTTTGAGTTGTACGCCTTTTGGCGTCATCTGGTCCAACACCAATGGAGACTAGGCTCTAAGAAAAGCTGTCTCGGGTGTGGACCAATCAACTTCAAGGACAGTGCATATCATTATCATCATCAGAGTTGTTTCTTTTTGTTTGCATATTGACTTCTTGTGTTGAGGTTATTGCAAACATGATGCCTTGTATAAAGGTGTCAGATGTTGTACCAGTTAAAAGGGTAAAAACCTATTACTATATTTCACGGCCGTGCCGCGCAGCTGCCCGATGTGTGCTCTCGGGTTGTGGCACGTCGACGTTCAGCACGACGACCGACAACGCGAACGCTCCAAGCCGCCGGGAGCGAAACGTCGAACGTCGCGCCGAGCGTCGCGCGGCACGACCCGGACGCTCGTCGGAGAGGGCTCTGCAGCGCAACCGCGGAGACGGAGTACCCTGCCGGGGGGGGGGGGGGTGGGAGCACAGGTGCCCGCGGACTGGACACCATCGCGGCACTCACGTGGTTCTTGGCGTCAGGACGCGATCCGCCGAGTAGCAACCCCCGGCAGCTCTGCGAGTGTCCGTTCTGGCAGGCGAGGTGTAGCGGGGTGCTCCCTGCCTGGATATGAACACAAAGACCCCCCCCCCCCCCCACGTAGCTATTAACGGAGACTGCTGGGCAGGTGGTGCTAGCGCACACCAATGAAGACTGGAATGGTGCGGGATGGCATGGGGTGAGCAGCGCCACGCCTGGCCGCCTTAGTCTCACCAGTGCTGATGTTTACACACTGTACCAGGTACTCATTTGAGGCTGAGTCAATCTAGGGGAGGCTCAGGAACAGTTAGGATATCACTTGCCATTGATGCTAGCTATGGCCGGGAATCAAACGCAAGCCTCCGGATTCATAGCACAGTGCACTAACCACTACCAGCCTCCACACACATACACACGAGTGACAATTCACCATATTGAGAGTTTAACGAATGACTACACTGGTCAACAAAAAAAAACATTTGTTTCTGGCCTGGACTTTCGCAGCTGTTTTAGACTAATTTCAGGGTGCTGATTCCAAATCTGATCTCAGATTTGCTCTATAACATCTCATTTTTATGCTATCGGCATACCCCATGTTCATTGATTTTACCCGAAATTAACTCTGTCACTTATGATTGCAAGTTGTTGCGAGTCAGTGACTGCTTTAGTGTTAAAATATGGTGCTGTATTTTTAGCATAGTGTGTTTATAATATAATTTATGTAGATGTGAATCTCAAGATCGCAGTGGCTCACGTGGTTCTTGACGTGGACGTTGGCACCTGCCTTCACCAGCAGCTTCACGGACTGGCTGTAGCCCTTCCACGCAGCCTCGTGCAGAGCAGTGCTCCCAGACTGCAGGGGGCAGGGGGGGGTGTGAATGCAGACAATCACAATGTCCTGGGGCACATCTACAAGAGGGAGCACTTGGTCACGCGTCATACAAGCCGGCACACCCCGCTCCGCCGCAGCCACCCCAGCGATTCAATGGCAATTCAGCAAATCGCTAGAGGGTGAATCATTGCCTTGTTAAACACAATATTAACACTGCAGTATATGAAGCTTATGGCTGGACCCCAGAGTCCCGAATAAACGGAAGTCAAAATCGCATTTAATTTGTTTTTGGCGACGCCGTCCCACCGCGCACATAAACGCCGTGATCCGCCTGGCGCAGATCATTCTGTTGTCATGTCGTGTCCTCTAAACACAGCGGCGAGGACGAATGCGTAGAAGAGATGAACAAGCGAATGCACTTCATGCTCGGGTACGGGCAGGATCATCAGTCTTATCCAAAGCTGCTCAAACTGCCTACACGACTTAAGTCCTTTATTTGTCATAACGATATGCAAACTGCTCTCTTAACTGCATTATTATTTGTGACCTACCAATGTCTGCAAGCCAGGATCAATCGATGACAATCCTGGAGCACGGCCAACTAACTCTGAAGGGAATTGCTCGGGCATAACTTCCTGACCTTGTAGCCTCGAGTTGAGCAATGCTAAGGGAACTCGGGAAAGCGGAGAATGGGAGGGAATTCCAATGACGGGCAACCGATGGGACATATGAAAATACAGTCGATAACGAGGGGTGGGGCTAGGTGGAGAGGGGAGGGTGGGGAGGGGCTGGGTGGGGAGGGGAGGGTGGGGAGGGGCTGGGTGGGGGGTGGGAAGGGTGGGGCTGGGTGTGGAGGGGCTGGTCACCCCGTGGTGCCCTTATAAAACTCAACGTTTAACCTACTCATGCCGGCTTGTGCCCGCCCTCACAGTCGGGCATTGACCGAGCAACCCAACGTTCCTACCAGCTCCCTCCGCAGGAATGTGTTTGGCAAGTTAACAATGGTATTTATGAGCGAAAAAGAGTCAATTCTGGCAATTGGCGGGGGGGGGGGGGGGCAAAACATGACGTTCACATGAACAAAGACCTTTGCAGTAGCAATAAAAGAGCGATGAGTAAGTCGCTGAAGAAGGTAGGCAAGGGTTAAGCAATTTTGTAAAAAGAAAGAATATTCGGGAATTTCAAGTCAAGCAGTTCGAGGAGGAAGGCAGATGTGAGGTCCTCTAACTTGGTTGTTTAACGGAGTATTTACGAGCGGAAACAACCGACCTGGTAAAACGGACCATCGACATTGATTTGGAGGTATCGACACGTGACATTCGCAACAACAACAACAACAACGACCGCGGCAGCAGTAGCCGCAAAGTAGAGAGACGAGGAAGCGACAGAACAAAGGTTGGAAGATGGTCCTGTTGGACGGTGGGGGGGTGAGAGCACGCACGCGTACCGTGTCCTGCCGATCGAGCGAGCAGCCCTCATCCAGAAGCACCGAGAGCACGGCCGTGCTGCCCGCCTCGACGGCTCGATGCACCGCCGTCTGACCACCCTGCGAGACAATCGGTCAAGCCCGGGCCAGCCCAACCAACCGGATCAATCACGCGGACAATTCAAAATAGATTGCTCAAACGAACGCATTTTCTTCGAGCGCGTCTTCGAAAGCGTTTCCATCGGTGGAACGGAAGCTAACGGGGGCCGGCTGTCGAGGCAGGCGTGTTCATGTTTGTGGATGGTCCTTTTTGAACTCTCATTTTGGGGATCCAAGTTTTTTGGACTGCACTTTTTTTATTGTCAATTTGTCCGAACTTCTACGGGCAGTTCTCTAACGGCGACGCAATTTTAGACGTTTTGTTCGTATTGGATCATCGTTACGAGCGCTATTGTGGCAGACAGACAGACAGATAGACGGACAGACAGAGCTAATGGATTAATGCTATTAAATCTTAGTTGGTTCTGACGTAAAACATTCGTGACTGCAGGAATTAATATTCTTTGGTTCTTTCAGTAAAGTCATGTAGATAGAAAAATAATAATAAAAAATAAAGTGAATATAAAAAATATAAAAAAAAACACGAATGTAGACTGCAGCCTGGTTCTTAATCGGAGTGAGTGTCCTGGCAGTCTCACCTCGGTGAGTATTCTGGCAGTCTATAATGTAGACTGTAGCCTGGTTATTAATTTTGTTGAGTGTACCGGCAGTCTATAATGTAGACTGTAGCCTGGTTATTAAGTTTGGTGAGTGTACTGGCAGTCTATAATATAGACTGTAGACTGCCAATACGCTGACCAAGCTTTAAAACCAGGCTACAGTCTACATTATAGACTGCTAGTACACTCACCGAGGTGAATAACCAGGCTACAGTCTACTTTCGTGTTTTTATTTTATTCTTTTATTTTTTATTAACTTTATTGTCTATTGTTATGTTTCTATCGACGTGACTTTACCGAAAGAACACTTCGTTGGTTCGTGTACAAATATATTTATAGAGAGAGAGAGATGTGGGTGGCCACGTGGGCGCAGGCATCCGATCACTTAGCGGGTCCATGCAAACTGCTTCCTACATCGTCCTGTAGGTCCAGGTTGCAGCCGGCGCTCGCCAACAAACGCACCACCTCCGCATGGCCACGGCTCGCAGCCAGGTGCAGCGGGGAACGACCGTGCTGCATATCGACACACACACACGCGCACACAGGCAAAGATCCCCCATATATTTCGATTTAAAGCTTTCGTGACTGCATGGATTCATCTTATTGGTTCTTTCGGTAAAGTCACGTAGAAGGGAAATAATACAATAATAAAAATAAAACATGATAAAATAATTCTCACGACGTTTCGGCCACAACGCAAGCAGCCGTCCTCAGGTGAAGAACAGGTCTGTCGGGAAGACAGCGTCTGAAGAACAGGTCTGTCGGAAAGACAGCGTCTGAAGACGCTTTCCGACAGACCTGTTCTTCACCTGAGGACGGCTGCTTGCGTTGTGGCCGAAACGTCGTGATAATTATTTTATTATGTTTTATTTTTATTATTTCCCTTCTACGTGACTTTACCGAAAGAACCAAGAAGATGAATCCCCCATATAGCCTTGACAGACTCTTGGGGCAAGTGCTGTTGGCGAGCACTTGTTGAAACCGGTACAGCACACGAGGGTGGGGGGGGGGGGGCAGCATGAAGACAATGACAAAGACCGCTGTAGAGCCTCGTCAGACTTTAGGGGCAAGTGCTGTTAGCGAGCACCTATAAATGCAGGCACGGTACACGAGGGGGCGGGTGGACAGCACCTCGCCCGACCGCCTTTGTCTCCCCAGTGGCGATATTTGTACACTACACCAGGTACTCATTTGAGGCTGAGTTGACCTAGGTGAGGCCCAGGACCGGATCAGATATTTGTCACGAGTGTTGGCCATGAGCAGTAATCGAACTCGGGTCAGTTTCAGTTTTCAGTTTCATTTATTAGGTATAGCCCTGTGAGCCATTCGGCTCTTGAATCGGGTGCAACCGCAATAAACAAAAAACAAAAACATGAAACAAAAACATCTTAAAGTGACTATGTGCAAACAGAAAATCCAAGAAAAGACAGCTAAATATTGCAGAAAAAGCACCGTACTATGACGTCACCAAGCTCTGCCCCTCCCCCCCCCCAAAAATTAAACTTGCCTCAAATCGCTTTAAACTATTGTCATTGTAGTGCGTATTTAATGTGGCGCTGCACTCTGATGTTGTAGGAGAAAACATGTATTAAAAAGCCTATTTAATTAGGTAGAACGTGTTGTCTATATTTATTTAAAGTTTCGCATTTTGATGTGACATCACATTTCTCAAACCCCTCCCCCTCGTCACACATCGTCACAAATGTCTGACCCCCTCCCCCCCTAGGTGCGTGACGTCATTTATGGACGACCTGTTTGTGGGCATCTATTAAGGCCAGCGTGATGCTAGAGGGGATTGTGTAGTCAGCACCCAGCCCTGTCGCCTTTGTCTACTTAGTGGTGATGTGTACATGCCGCACCAGGTACTCGTTGGCAAGGTTGAATTGCCCGAGGGGACACACAGAACTGACTCACAAGTTCCCCAATTGGTGTTCTACACGGCAGGGAAAATGAATTTAGGTCCTTGGGTTCACACACCCACTACACCAGGGGCGGGAAATCTTTTATCTGCCAAGGACCATTTGGATATTTATAACATTATTCGCGGGCCATACAAAATTATCAACTTAAAAATTAGCCCGTTATATTTGGTCAAACATTTCATTAACTCACCCCTAATGCGATGGCTGGAACTGCTTCTCTTTGGCGAGGCGTGTGAATGTTAGCTGCTATTGATGATGTTGCTGCTACTCGCAACTGCTTTTACAGGTTTGCTCCTAGAGATTTATTGAATTTCGAGTCCCTGCCTGCGGTTGCCTTGGCAGGGCCAGACCAAATGATTTCACGGGCCTCATACGGCCCGCGGGCCGGACGTTCCCCAGCCCTGCCATACACAAAGAGACACAACATCCCTGGTATGCCCATATAAACTGGTGGGGTAATTGCGGTTAGCGAACACCTATTTAAGGCAGGCATGGCGCATAAAGGGGTTGTGTGGCCAGCACCATGCCCAGCTTCTAATTTCCTCCCAGTGTTCATGTTTAATACCTGCAGTTGGATACGCATTGAAGACTCAGTTGAGCATGGGGAAGCCCAGGACAGGTTCTGATATCACTCGCAACTAATCTTAACCAGGGACGGAAATCAAACTCAGGTCGCCAAGTTCATAGTGCGCTATGCCAAGCGTCGCGCCAACGTCCCGTACCCCACACGTACAAAGGCAAGTGGAAAAAGCGAGCAACCATTACGTACACGCACACTTACATGCATGCACATATGCAACAACAGGCGTGTCAACACTAACCCCCATCTAATACCGCTCAATTCTCCGTGACCATCGCTTGAAACCCTGGCCACCTGTATTATAATTTATGTATTGCGCGGTGCCTGTTAAACTGACCTCTTCCCAGGATCTCACCAGTCGCCGATGAAACAGTTTTAAGCGCTGTGCACATTCACGCGTGCACGCGGCTCCGTGCTGTGAAGCGTAAATTGCCGGAGGTGCTGACGGACACGGGAGCGAGGCGGAGCTCACCGCAGCCTGCGTTCAGCTGGACTGGAATTGCGCCGAGATGGGAGGTGGCGGCCGACTGACACGCCAGGGCCGTGACCAGCGCTTTAGTACACACCTCGCTGGAACGCTGTGGCAAAGAGATCTTAACTACCTCGCCAGCTATGCAGGAGACCGTGGGTTCGATCCCGACCCTGACGCCTGTATATGTGAAGTTTGCATGTCTCTCTCCCCGTGGTCGCGTGGAGTTTTCTCCGGGACCTGCGATTTTCCTTCCACGTGCGTTTAGAGTATTTGACTGCTATACATTTCCGCGCGATAAGCCACTTCGTTGGGCTATCATTTGTTGGCAGGACGCTTATGAAAAAGAGCTTCGTAGCTCAGTGGGGCCTTACCTGGTAAAATAAACAGTTTATAAACTGCATCATGGGACCTCCTTTGCCAGTACCAAAATATGAGAATAGGTTTTCCCTTGGCGTCCTATGGTCTAACACCGTTTTGAGACTAGGCTCAAAAGAAAGCTGTCTCTGGTGTGGACCAATCAGTTTCAAAGACAATGCATATATTATCAGAGTACGTTTTTTGTTTACATTCTGACCACAAGTATTGTGGTTAATGCAGACATGATTCCTTGTAAAAGGTTTCAGTTTGGTGTTTTAACATCTTAACACAGCTGTTTTGTTTCCAGAAAAAAGGGCAAAACCTATTCTCATAGTTCTTTCGGTAAAGTCACGTAGAATGTAAAAAAAAAAATTGGGGGGAAATAATAAAATAATAAAAATATTTGTATTATTTTATTTCCATTCTACGTGACTTTACCGAAAGAACCAAGAAGATGAATCCCTGCAGTCACGAAAGCTTTTAATCGAAACCTATTCTCATAGTTTATAAACTGACTCATCGCTTCAACGGCCACTCTGCGTCCCAGGGGCCACATTCCACACGTGAGCACGGCTCGGCACGGCCCGGTACGGCACCGCTCGTGGCAAAACAAATCCAACGCTGCCTCATTCTGACCTTAAACATTACCATCACCGTCCACATGCTCTTCCTATCATGGTGTTAACAACAATCACGATCTTTCTTTAGCTTGACTGGTGTCTGGTTGTGCGGCGCGTTGTTCGGCACGATGTCCGACATTTCGCTCCATGTGCTGGGTGTGAGCCTCTTCAGGAACTGAATATTTCTCGACGTAACATCGTAGCGAACGGAAATAATAAAATAATACAAATAAAACATAATAAAATAATTCTTTATTATTTCCATTCTACGTGACTTTACCGAAAGAACCAAGAAGATGAATCCCTGCAGTCACGAAAGCTTTAAATCGAAATCGTAGCGAACAACACACTGTACAGCACATCTGCCATAAAATGACAAAGTAACAACTCATCCAGAAAGCCCAAACTGAGCCACAAGTCTCATTTTCAAGAGAGCCCCGCATTCGATTTCTTTTTCAGGAATGTTTCGCGTGTGAGAGGACGTTAGTTGCCAGAGAAATCCCAAATGTGTGAGATGTAAACAAAGCTTCACACAGACAGGCTCATCAACCTACCTGCTGTACCGTACTCCCTGGGGTTTCATAAATCTTTGTGAGCCACAAAACCACGTGAACCACGAACTCTTACCTCAAAATGACGTGTGCCACTGCGCCCGTCGTCTGTTCAAAATTCCACAAACGCGCGATACGTAAAAATCATTCGCGGGGGAGGAAAAGAAACCCTCACGAGCTACAAACTTGGCAAAACTGCTGTTAATTAATCATGCGGTCTTGGCCGATGATGATGATGATCAAACATTTTGCTGCCACAATGTGCAAAACGAGCGTGGGGCTTCAGCCGTCTGGGTTCTCGCGCAAGGAAGCACAATATGGGATATTTTGCCAGTAACAAAGCATGAACAAATAAGAATAGGTTTTACCCTATCTTTGCAAAAGGTTTCTATTTGGTGTTTGAAAATCTTAACGCCTGTTTTATTCGTCATAAAGGTTTTTTGGTTAGATCGCATAAGTATAAATGTGTCGTAACCCTCCACCACCCGACACAGCCAATTAGTCACTGATTTGTCTCGTAAACAAAGGGCTAATTAGTTACTTCAGCCCACCGGTGTGTTGGAGAGTAAATCCACAACATTTACAATTTGAGTACGAAGTTGTAAACTAATTGGCGTTGGGTGGTGGAGGGTTACGACACATTTATACTTACGCGATCTCTAACCCAAAAAACTTTATTATGAATATTATTGGCCGCGAAAGCCTACGTTTTTTAAACCTCTTCTTGGTTCTTTCGGTAAAGTCACGTAGAAGGGAAATAATAAAATAATAAAAATAAAACATAATAAAATAATTCTCACGACGTTTCGGCCACAACGCAAGCAGCCGTCCTCAGGTGAAGAACAGGTCTGTCAGGAAGACACTTTCTGGCACTATCTTCCCGACAGACTTGTTCTTCAACTGAGGACGGCTGCTTGCGTTGTGGTCGAAACGTCGTGAGACTTATTTTATTATGTTAAATTTTTATTATTTTATTATTTCCCTTCTACGTGACTTTACCGAAAGAACCAAGAAGATGAATCCCTGCGGTCACGAATGTTTTAAACCTGTTTTATTTCCAGAAAGGGTAAAACCTATCCTTACATTTTTCATGCAATGGAGCACGTTTCACGACTCGTGCGGGTGCCGCCATTGGTTTGTTCTTGCAAATACGAACAACGGCCACATCCCTTGGCTGCAACCGATCCAGCTGATGATCAACTCCACAGCGGCATGGAATACCGAGGAGGCGCTCAAAGCAACACGGGGGGGGGGGAGGACAGAATTCTCGCCGGGGCATTGTGGAGCAACGCAACGATTAAATCGGATTAGATCCGAGCCTCGTAACACAAAGCCGGGGGCACGACCAAGATTGCCCTCTCTCCCGTCAACAACAAAGCAAAACAAAACCACCATAATCTGACACCCGCAACAGCACGGACATATACGGCTTCCAATACAAAAAAAAAGTTTCTGATGAAAAAAAAACACGTGGGTTGGAAAAAAAATGGCCACCGTCCTTGGGTGGAACGAGGGTTGCGTTTCACCCTCACGTGCCAGCGTTGAGGTTGAGGGTCCCAAGCAAGCGTCGTCATGACCGCCAAAGGGCTGCAACGCGATAGCTTCTGGCTCGGGAGGTTAGTTTAGGTTCTTCGTGCGGCGAGGGGGCAAGCGATGCCGGTCGGTGCACGAGGCACCAGTAGGGAGGTTTGTTTGTTTCAATGTTGACTTAAAACTTTCGTGACTGCGGGAATTCAGATTCTTGATTCGTTCGGTAAAGTCACGTAGATAGAAAATAAAAAGTAATTTTTTTTATTGAAAATAATTAAAGCAAAAAACCCACGACGTTTCGATCGCAACACAAGCGGTCTTCTTCATCTCTCCGCCTGACGAAGACCGCTTGTGTTGCGATCGAAACGTCGTGGGTTTTTTGCTTTTATTATTTTCAATTAATAAAAAATATATATGTTTAATTTACTTTTTATTTTCTTCATCAGGCGGAGAGATGAAGCCCGCTTGTGTTGCGATCAAAATGTCGTGGGGTTTTTGCTTTTATTATTATCTATTTATAAAAAAAAAATGCAATCTACCTGACTTTATCGAAAGAACTAAGAATAAGTTTGTTTGTTAGTTTTTTTTTTACGAGCGCGGCCGCGAAACTCGGCCTCGCGCGCTCACTCGCTCGCCACGCCGCGTCTGACGCCGAGTCTCCCCGGCTCCGTCAATGCCACCCTCTCGTCACCAACTCATCAATCATCGCGCAGCCAGCACGACACGGCCTGGGGGCGGTGGGGGTGCGGTGGGAGGTGCGTGCACTTGGCCGCGGAGTTTCTCCCGCGCCTCTCATGCTCTCGCCGCGCTTTTAAAAGCTTCCTTTCGCGTTCGTTCCCGGGAGGCACATTCCCCAAAACTATATACTCTTAGTTCTTTCGGTAAAGTTGATACAGATATTTTGCTGTGACAGTTTCACCTGAAGACGGAAGCTTGTGTTGCCTCCGAAACGTCGTGATTTTATTGTTTTTATTTTTTTATAAATTTTTATTTCATTTTTTACCGAAAGAACTAAGAGCATGAATCCTTGCAGTCACGAAAGCTTCAAATCTAGAATTCCCCAAAACTGCTGCTGCCTCTTAAGGTGAATGAGAAAGTAAGTCTGAAGAGCGTGTTGCGAACTGTCACTAGATCGACTGCATTACCCCCGTGTTGTTTTTTGCTTGGCGAGGCGTGGAGCTGTGGTGCAAGTGGTAAGCACACTCCGCTAGGAATGTGGTGACCCAAGTTCAATTCTCGCCCGTGGCTAGAATCGATGGAGAGTGATACTTTAACTGGTCCTGGGCCCACCCTTCCAGATCTAATACTGACCAGAATGGTGAGGTGTGGTCAAACAACGCCCATCACTCCTGATATGGCGTGAGGAGGCATGCATTCACAACTGGATTGACATAAGGCTGTACTTGTGTTTCTTACAATTGCCTAAATTTCTGAATGAATTATATCTAGACCGAGGGAAGACGCGCGAAAAAAAACAGACACACGAAAACACAAACGGCCATGGACAATGACCTCAAGTGCTCTGCCGAGATTTGCCACAGAGATTGAAAAATAACTTGAAGAAAGAGCACAAATCATCAAACGTCGATCAGAATTCAAATGTCAAAACGTTGACAGGCTCAGCTGAGTGAGAGGCCCCCTCACCCCCTGATTGCAGCCCGAAGCCAGTGGTGGCAATTCCATATTGTGGGGGCCATTCGATTCATAGGACAACTTCTGTCAACTTCCCCGTGATGGCTGAGTCAGTCCCCCCTACCAGGATTCGAACTCCCAACCTTCTAATTGCAAATCGTGCACACTACTTACTGCTCCAACACTTGTGTAATGTTTGTTTTACATCGCTAACAATTATCACACCGTTATTAACGTTCATTCTTGATTCATCCGTGGACGGATTATCCACATACAGTATATGGATTAATAGTGGTCGCAAAAAAAGTACGTAAAATGTCAAATTTCGATTTAAAGCTTTCGTGACTGCAGGGATTCATCTTCTTGGTTCTTTTGGTAAAGTCACGTAGAATGGAAATAAAAAAATAAAAAAATAAACAGACCTGTTCTTCACCTGAGGACGGCTGCTTGCGTTGTGGCCGAAACGTCGTGAGAATGATTTAATTATGGGTTATTTATTTCTTTTTTCTTTTTATTATTTCCATTCTACGTGACTTTATGTAAAATGTGTTGCGCGCTTGCTGATTACAGTGTTCACCGCTTCTCACTCGTCGAGGGGCCAGCGACTCAATGGCCACACGACCACTAAACGCGAAATAAACTGATCACTTGAAGAATCAATGAAAAAAACACACCAGGCACATTCTTTGTCTTCACTACAATTCTGCCTAGATGAACACATACTTTTGTAGACGGCAATTTACATGTGTTTTGCATTTATCCAAATATCGGTTTTATCCGCCCCCCCCCTACCCACCATTACCTTGGATAATGCAGAGTGGACTGGATTATCTATATACCCAAGGCTGCATCACTGAGTCAACAAACCCATTTGACAGGAGGGTACATCATGGCACATTTTTTTCCCCAAAGTGACTACGCGAACTGTATCATTATTCCAGACGGCGCCGTCCCTCGTAGTCCCCGTGTCTCTCTCTCTCGCTCGGCTGGACATCTGCGAAAAAGAGCTTCATAGCTCATCGGATTCCTCCAGGATAAATATTCTGATTCACTCGCCATCCCTCGCTCTCTCCTTCGCTGTCCTTTACCGTCCCTCGCCATCCCTCGCTCTCCCCCACCACAGTGGGACTCACCTTGTTGATGGCGCTGGGGGCGCCTCGATTGATGAGCTCCACGACGTCGCCCACGCGGCCCCTGTGCGCCGCGACGAGCAGCTTCTCGGCGAGCAGGTCCGCGCCATCGCGCCCGCTCATGGGGCGACCCGCTGAATCCTCGATCGCACGCACGTCCGTCCGGGTCAGTCCCGCAAAAGTCGTCCTGGGAGAGCGCCTTCCTCCTCCCCCCCCCCCCCCACCAAGTTAAACCGCGAGTGTGCGGCACGGCAGGTGAACGATGGGTGGGTGGTGGGGGGAAGAGTCTTGGCGGTGATTGTCACGAGGTTGACGCAGTCGTGCGGATCCGTCTATCGAAGAGGCGCGGCGATTAGTTTCGCTCCTCGGCGTTTGCTTTTGCCGATCTGACAACGCGAGCTCTCCGAGTGTTGATCGAGCTGCTCCGTCCTGTTAATTGAGGTAATCCGTGGGTTTTCTTGCAAATCCAAATGAGCTTTGCATATCCTCGAAGTTTCATTGTTGTCGTCAGTACACGAGCCTCACTTGTGTGGGAGTCGGCACTGTCAGACGGAGCCACATCACATCAGACCACGATCTCCATCACAAATCCCAGTTCTCCTTCAAGCTGCCGAGTCTGGGCTCTTTCATCCTGCCACTTGGAAGGTCTCTTCTGAGCAGCCGTCACACTTGCAGGGAAATCCACTGCTGGCAAGCAATTATATTGCCTGAAAGGAAAGAGGACACAGACACACGTGGATGGTGGAACACACACATTCTCACTTGCGTCTTTTACCTCCACAGAGAGAGAGAGAACGTCCTGACTACCCCAGCCAAGATATCTGGTAACAAGTATAACCCGTAAAAACAAAGTTTTTCACTATAAATCCTTTATATGCGTGGCGGCTCTCGTCCTCTGGCTTGAGATGGCTGCCACCTATGGGTCAGATGATTGCATTGCACCATTAAGCAATTGGTAATTAAATATAATATTTTTGTCATAAAAAGTGTAAAATTTAGGAAAAAAATTTTCACGAACATTCATTGTCACGCACAACGAGTCTGTGTGGAAAATGTCAACTCGATTGGATCACGGGAAGTGGGTTAAAAAACGACCGAAAATTTGCACGGTCGTAAGCAAGCAAGCGAACTTAATATAAAGGATTAAAAAAAAATGTGCAGCCCTGCAATTGCCTGCTCACGCCACTGCTAGCTCAAGGGCCTCCACTACAGGGAGCCGTAGAGAACCCCCCATAGAGGGCGTTTGGCCTACTCTTCCACGCATGGCCAGGCAACCGGAGGTGAGAGGATTTAAGAAACCTGCCCAGTTGTTTCAACTGCGGCGCTGGGAGGTCGGATTGACCCGGTGACCTCTGGACTTGCGAGCCCAGCGCACTACCCGTGACACCACCGTTGTGGCAGCATCCTTAGATGGAAGCTGGTTGCAGAAAGAAAGAACGCTTCCTTAGCGCAACGCCTGCCAGCGAGCGGAGCAGTGCTCACTGGGAATTGGCGTTCGGTAACAATCCTCGCCGTGAGTGTTGCTCAGCAACTTCGTGCGGCGTGGGGGGGGCCTCGCCACCCCACGCCTCAACACTTGAGGGCGTCTCCTCGACGCAAACTCCCAACGACATCCACACTCGCCGCAAAGTTTTTGCAGCTCCGCCCGCAACGTTTGCAGCGATTTTTTTTAAATTTTGTTTTGCTTCGTTTAACGCGTGAGTGGGCTTTACGCGAACAATGTTATTCGCAGTAAAGGTTTTTGGGTTAGATCGCGTAAGTATAAATGTGTCTTAACCCTCGACCACCCAACACAGACAGTAATGTTTGTCACGAGAACAACGTGTCAATTCGTTACGACTTCAGCCCATCGCTGTGTTATGACAGTAAATCCACAACATTGACAATCGACGTTTCGCTGGTAATTTACATCCAGCATCATCGGACGATTTGCCAGTATAGTGAAGCAATCCACCTGCTCCCGGTCTTTAATAGAGCAAGATGACGTTTTACTTACTTGACAGTCCCCAACTAAGGTCTAGAGAGAGTTCATGCACGAGTCTCTGTCCACCCGGCTGGCTGGCCGTCCGTAACGTAGGGAGGCACGATCACTCTTAATTCTAGATTTGAAGCTTTCGTGACTGCAAGGATTCATATTCTTAGGTTTTTTCGGTAAAGTCACGTAGGTAAAATATTAAAATTAATAAAAGTAAAATAAAATAAAAATCACGACGTTTCGGAGGCAACACAAGCTTCCGTCTTCAGGTGGAACCGTCACAGCCACGACATTTTACTTGATACAGCTATAGCTTGATACAGCTGTCGTGGCTGTGACGGTTCCACCTGAAGACGGAAGCTTGTGTTGCCTCCGAAACGTCGTGATTTTTATTTTATTTTACGTTTATTAATTTTAATGTTTTACCTACGTGACTTTACCGAAAAAAACCTAAGAATACGATCACTCTTGTGACCATGATCCAATGTGGAATTCAACTTTAGTATAAAATCGTGCTGCTTTCTGAGACTTTATCCGATTGAAAACCGCCCAAATTGATGCAAGCGTTGGCCAAGAAAAATCGGAAACACACAACCACAGCAAAAAAAGACGATTTGTAAACATGCAAAGTTCATTTTGCCCTGATAATTATCCATCGGCTTATTTACTGCTAATTGTATACTTGCGAGGACAAACGCATGTTGGAAAGTGTCACATAATCCGTGCATATGCATGATTATTCAAAGCTTGTTTTTTCCATTAAACTCATATAAAAATCAACCTACCGCTGAATTTAAAGGCAAATGCAGCATAATAAACAGGCAGAAAGCTTAATTGATGATTAATAAAACAAACTTTTAGGAATTACGTAATAATGTATGTTTATATATTGAACTACTTTCGAACCTTCACGTAGCCAACCGTGCTAATTGGAGTTGTGTCACTCGGGTGATGTTTTAAAAAGTACAGCAGTCGCACACCGCTGTGACGCAAGATGAGCAAAGAGTTCGCTTGACTTGAAACGTTTTTAAAATCCTGCATTAGCAAAGATTCAAACTCGTATCCGTGAAATAAAACAACAACAAAAAACCGCCCGCAATTTTTAAACGCCACTTTCAGGTAGCCGCTAAGCGAATGATTGTACCCCGAGCTTCGAGACGCATGGCCACTCTTCTGGGGTGTTGTTGTTTGACTTGCAGTTGTTGTTTGACTTGCAGTTACATTTCGAGTTAAAGCTTTCGTGACTGCATGGATTCATATTCTTGGTTCTTTAGGTAAAGTCACGTAGAAGGGAAATAAGAAAATAAAATAATAAACATAACAAGATACAATTCTCACGACGTTTCGGCCACAGGTTCATTAGGACGCTGTCTTTCCGACAGACCTGTTCTTCACCTGAGGACGGCTGCTTGCGTTGTGGCCGAAACGTCGTGAGAATTTTATCTTATTATGTTTTATTTTTATTATTTTATTATTTCCCTTCTACGTGACTTTACCGAAAGAACCAAGAATATGACTTGCAGTTGTTTGACTTGCATCCCACTGGGATTTTTGCACACAGCGTTGGTGTACGGTGCTTTTTCTGCAACATTTTGCTGTCTTTTCTTAGATTTTCTGTTTGCGCATAGTCACATAGTCACTTTAAGATGTTTTCTTGTTCATGTTTTTGTTTGTTGCGGTTGCACCCGATTCAAGAGCCGAATGGCTCACAGGGCTGCACCAAATAAATGAAATGAAACTGAAAACAAATGGACGGACCCACCTCGAGTGGCTCGAGGTCTTGTGAGCGAAGGAGGCGCGTGAGAAAGTAGAAAGTGGCACCAGCTCGCGAACGCAACGCGCATGGCGGGGGGGGGGTCCCCTCCGGCCACACCCAGAAACAAGTCCAACCATCGCCACGCCAGCCCCTTCACACGAAGAGGTTGAGCTTCTACCCCTCCGCCACCACCACCATCCTTGCCTCGGCGAAAATGGGAACGCGGCGATGGTAAGGCGGCACAAGAGGGCCCACCGTCGTTTAAAACGGAGCACCCCCTGGGGCCAGTAAACGTCGAGGCAACGCGTTGGTTGAACAAGCTGGACTCTGCTGATGAGACCAAAGAAGCGGAAAACCAGTCTGCGCGCGTTTGCTCGCTTAAGACAAACGCTGCATGATATATGTGATTCTGGAAAGGCGATATGCTGATGGCTAAATGATGTTTTATTTATATGTGCAGATATAAAATTGCTTTCTTCTTACATAGGCCCATTACCCAGCTGTGATGAGATGAGCCGTTGCCATTGCATGATGGTGAAGGCCGGACAGCAAATGGTTTAATCTCCAGGATTTGTGCGTGCAAAAATAGGTTAATCCTCGTTCAAGCAACGGATTGGGTTTATGTTCATTTGGTAAATGTTTTTCACCACAGATGAAAAATAATATCCAAGAGTGCGCAAAAAGTCAACACATTCATCACCCTAAAATTAAGACGAGTACAAGCAGTGGTGTTTCAAGCAATGGAATTTGCCAAAGATCTCACCTATCTTACACATTATTTTTGAGGGCAGTGTTATTGACACGTGTGTTGAGTTTTTGTGATTTGTGCATGTGCACCGCTGCTATAATGCATTATTGCCGATTGCATAAATACGACGGCGAACCGAATTGGTTTGCATTAGAGGCCGGCCGAAACTGAATTTCTGGTTTCGGCCGAAACCGAAAGTTAATCCTTTATATGCGTGGCGGCTAGAGTCCTCTCGTCCTCTGGCTTGAGATGGCTGCCACCTATGGGTCAGATGATTGTCTGCCAGCATTAAGCAATTGGTAATTAAATATTTAATTGTTTTCCCTAAACAGTGTAAAATTTAGGATTTTTTTTCACGAACATTAATTGTCTCGCACAACGAGTCTGTGTGCAAAATGTCAGCTCGATTGGATCACGGGAAGTGGGTTAAAAAACGACCGAAAGATTTGCACGGTCGTAAGCAAGCAAGCACGCAAGCACGCAAGCAAGCAAGCGAACTTAATATAAAGGATTTAAAAATTAACTTTCGGTCGAAACCGAAACTATGCCGAAAGAGGCCATTTACCAACTTTCGGCGCCGAAACCGAAACCGAATTTCGATCGGCCTCGAGGTTGCATGCGAATGGTCACGAGGACGTTCAGCTACAGATAACAAGAACTGCTTGTGAGGATCGCCGCTGGCTGTTCGTGAGCATGGTAAACGCTTAGCCGAGAAACTGTCAATGGCCACGCCAGCCCGCAAGGGTTTATAAGGGCCCGGAATTAAATATTTGCAAACGACACGGTTGAATTCATCGTATAAAAGACTGGACGATGGGGGGTTGGGAGTGGTGGGGAGGGGAGGGGAGAAAGAGAATAACAGCCCGAGTCACAACCCAGTACAAGAGCGCCCCCCCCCCCACTCCACACACTACAACAACAAAAACCCGTACACACGGAAATATGTTCCAGTGAAAGGAATTCCTAGCGCACAACTTTCCGTTAAAGAGCCAGCTTTTTTCACTTGATGCTGCCATCATTCGCTGCCTCGATGCTAAGTGGGCAAATTAAAGCAGCGCTGTTCGACAGGCCACGGAACACGAAGATAACCAGGGGAACGAGACGCGTCGGCTTGCAGTGCGTCGAACGAAATGTGGACGCGGAAGAGGGCTTTCTCGGGATGCACGTCAAATCCACACACGCCGTGTCAACGCAGCTCACGAACGACTGGGACTGACGAGGTCACGAAACCTCGTGTGTGTCACCGCAAGCTCCCCAACACAACTTGGCGCCGGGAATCCAATCGGTTAGAACGAACTTCAGCCCTCTCGTGCATCCTTCTCTCACCCCCCACCCACCCAGATAACGTAACTCACGACGCCTGGGACACATCGCCCTGCGTGTACACAGACTCCCACTCTCACCCACAGGACACATCGCCCTGCGTGTACACAGACTCCCACTCTCACCCACAGGACACATCGCCCTGCGTGTACACAGACTCCCACTCTCACCCCCAGGACACATCGCTCTGCGTGTACACAGACTCCCACTCTCACCCCCAGGACACATCGCCCTGCGTGTACACAGACTCCCACTCTCACTCCCAGGACACATCGCCCTGCGTGTACACAGACTCCCACTCTCACCCCCAGGACACATCGCCCTGCGTGTACACAGACTCCCACTCTCACCCACAGGACACATCGCCCTGCGTGTACACAGACTCTCACTCTCACCCCCAGGGACACATCGCTCTGCGTGTACACAGACTCCCACTCTCACTCCCAGGACACATCGCCCTGCGTGTACACAGACTCCCACTCTCACCCCCAGGACACATCGCTCTGCGTGTACACAGACTCCCACTCTCACCCCCAGGACACATCGCCCTGTGTGTACACAGACTCTCACTCTCACCCCCAGGACACATCGCTCTGCGTGTACACAGACTCCCACTCTCACCCCCAGGACACATGGCTCTGCGTGTACACAGACTCCCACTCTCACCCCCAGGACACATGACTCTGCGTGTACACAGACTCCCACTCTCACCCCCAGGACACATGGCTCTGCGTGTAAACAGACTCCCACTCTCACCCCGAGGACACATCGCTCTGCGTGTACACAGACTCTCACCCACAGGACACATCGCTCTGCGTGTACACAGACTCCCACTCTCACCCCCAGGACACATCGCTCTGCGTGTACACAGACTCCCACTCTCACCCCCAGGACACATCGCCCTGCGTGTACACAGACTCTCACCCTCACACCCAGGACACATCGCCCTGCGTGTACACAGACTCCCACTCTCACTCCCAGGACACTCACTCTCTCGCTCTGCGTGTACACAGACTCCCACTCTCACCCCCAGGACACATCGCCCTGCGTGTACACAGACTCTCACTCTCACCCCCAGGACACATCGCTCTGCGTGTACACAGACTCCCACTCTCACCCCCAGGACACATGGCTCTGCGTGTACACAGACTCCCACTCTCACCCCCAGGACACATGGCTCTGCGTGTACACAGACTCCCACTCTCACCCCCAGGACACATGGCTCTGCGTGTAAACAGACTCCCACTCTCACCCCGAGGACACATCGCTCTGCGTGTACACAGACTCTCACCCACAGGACACATCGCTCTGCGTGTACACAGACTCCCACTCTCACCCCCAGGACACATCGCTCTGCGTGTACACAGACTCCCACTCTCACCCCCAGGACACATCGCTCTGCGTGTACACAGACTCCCACTCTCACCCCCAGGACACATCGCCCTGCGTGTACACAGACTCTCACCCTCACACCCAGGACACATCGCCCTGCGTGTACACAGACTCCCACTCTCACTCCCAGGACACTCACTCTCTCGCTCTGCGTGTACACAGACTCCCACTCTCACCCCCAGGACACATCGCCCTGCGTGTACACAGACTCCCACTCTCACTCCCAGGACACTCACTCTCTCGCTCTGCGTGTACACGTGCGTCAATCAAGGACAATCGTCCGTAGTAGCGCTGTGCTCTCCGTTCCACGGGGCACCTCGGAGTGAATTCCTCCAACAGGCGCTGTATTAGCTACAACAGGCGCTGTATTGGCCACGGCGGCGTCATTCGTGGCAACAGAAGATCGAACGTTGCCCCGCTGCTGTCTCGTTCGCCACTGCGAGGAGAGAGGCGATTAAACCCCGGGCGAGTGCGGGCTTGGCTGCCCAACTCGCAATTACGCACAGGCGCCAAGGCATGTTAACTATAGGAACACGCGCTCGAGTCTGAATGGGAAGTTTAAGACGCGCGCACGGCAAGCATCGGCCATGCAGCCCGAGGGGTGCCCGGTCACTTGACGTGACGCTCCGCATCGGCAGCATGCGCGCGTTCATTCCCGGCTGCCCGTGCCCGTGCCGCGGCACGGGGGGTGGAGGGGGGTGGCCCCACCGAGACAAGCGACTCAGCAAACGCCGCAACTCAGACGAGAGACGCACAGCGCGGACGTACCGAAGACGCGACGTTTGTCCTCCTCGCAGCGCCGTCGATAACAACAACGGCGGCTGGCAGATTTCGCCCGCACTCCTCAAACTCGAAGCTTTGTGTCCCCCACCCCTGTACCCCGACCTGCCCCCTCTGCTCCCCCCACCCCACTGCCCCAGCCCTACCCAGTGCCTGCTGCTAAACCCCGTCGTAGCCTCCTCCACCCTCACATTCTCATCCCCAGCAGGTCCCAGCGCGGCCACCCCATTCCCTCGTGCTCGTTTGTCATGCTAATGGTCTCCTCGCCAGCAGCCCAGGCGAGAACCCAGATGGAACGTGGCCAGCAGCCTACAGCCTGCACCCTCCACCCCCATCTACAGCCTGCACCCTCCACCCCCATCGACAGACTGCTCACCCATCTCTCAACTCTACAGCCTGCACCCTCCACCCCCATCGACAGACTGCTCACCCATCTCTCAAATCTACAGCCTGCTCCCCCATCACCCCCATTCCCGTTATCCAGAGTCTACACATCCCCCCTGCCCCCACAGCCTACCCCCCCCCCCCCATCGCTCTCGTCCCTCCGATTAGCTATGTACGACGCGAAAAAGTTCAACATTGACACATCCCTCTGATTATCCAATTCCCTCCATCCACAGTCTGTATCCCCCAAAATCCCCCCCCCCATCCACAGCCTATTACACCCATCCATTCCATAGCCTCTAACCCCCTATCGACACACCGCACCCCCATCGCCCATATGCACATCGTGTACTCCCCATCTGTCAAGCGCCTTCCTCAAGGGACCGATCCCAACCGATCCCAACTCCATCCATCCCCCCCCCCCTGTCCTTAGCAACCAAACATCTCCCCCTAGCGACGCTGGGGCAGTGGAGGATGGACCAACTTCGCACGTGTCACGGTAGGGAGGCTCACGATCATCTCTACCGGCCCGTTCGGTGGAGTCAGAATATGGGGCAGAAGGAGCGGGCAGAACGAGGCCTTTTTTACTCTGAGCCCACTGCTACTGTGTGTGTCTGTGTGTGTGTCTGTGTGTGTGTGCGTGTCGGTGTGTGTGTGCGTGTCTGTGTGTGTATATGTGTGTGTGTCTGTGTGTGTATCTGTGTGTGTGTGTGTCTGTGTGTGTGTCTATGTGTGTGTGTCTGTGTGTGTGTCTGTGTGTGTACTCTTTGGTTTTTTTCGGTAAAGTCACGTGACTTTACCGAAAAAACTAAAACGTATGGATTCTTGAAGTCACGAAACTTCAAATCTAGAATTATATGTGTGTGTGTCTGTGTGTGTGTATCTGTGTGTCTGTGTGTGTCTCTATGTGTGTGTACCTGTGTGTGTGTCTGTGTGTGTCTGTGTGTATCTGTGTGTGTGTGTCTGTGTGTGTGTCTTTGTGTGTATCTGTGTGTTTATGTGTCTGTGTGTGTGTCTGTGTGCGCGCGTGGTGGGCAGTAGTGTAGCGGTCAGCGCTACACTGCGCTACGAACCCGGCGACCCGAGTTCGATTCCCACTCACGGCCGACACCGGTGACGATTATCTCAAACGGTACTGGGCCTCCCCTAGATCGACTCAACCTCAAATGAGCACCTCGTGCGGTGTGTAAAACATCGCCACTAGGGAGACAAAGGAGGTTGGTCGTGGTGCTGGCCACCCACCCCCTCGTGTGTTGTCCCGGCCTTCATAGGTGCTCGCTAACAGCACTTACCCAAACAATCTGTTGAGGCTATACGGGGGATCTTTGTTTTTGTATGTGGTGGGGCTGCTGACAAGGATAAGGATTTGCATTTATATAGGGCCTGAAAACGGCAGAATCTCACGGCGCTTTATGAACACGCTCGGAAAATTACACGACACAAGGAATAGAAAAGACGATAAAACACACACAATGAAAGTTCAACGGAATTAAAACAGCAAACGGGTAAAACGAAAAGCAATTTCCCTTGGCTGTGCAGGAGTTCATGACTGTGAAATACCTCATGATTTCCTCAGGGAGCGAAAGCTGGATGGAAAAGTGTGTCCAACTGACGTGTTAAATAAACATCAGATTATGATTACATCATTTAACTTACAGGCCTCTGTCAATACACTTCTGGATAAATGCCTTCTCACACCAATGTCGCCATTAGAGGGGTTATCTACGTACGGTGCGAAAGAAGTTCAACATACATAATTTATGTGACCGTACTTCAGCATGCTAAATTCTTGCATTAATTTCAATTGATTAGAACAGGGGGAAAAAAGTTACTGGCGATTTGTTTACAATGTGAATCCTTGTCAAGCCATTTCTTGCGGTTTTCCGATAATGGCGACCCTAACAGGACACGACACAGCACGAGGGGGGAGCGGAGGCTGGGGGTTTGCCTGCTCTTTGTTTAATTGTCATCAGAGTTAGCATTCAGAGTGAGGCCCTCATTTTGCCCGGACACCGCAGGCAGCCAGGGCCTCATTCCACCAGGACGGAGGAGGAAGGGACACAACGGATACGGCGCGGACGGCACGCACGCCACAATGAACACCAAAACACTGAAATGTTAACGGAAAGTGAAAAGTGGGGCTTGTGATGCACGGGAGAGGTGGGTGCGGGCAGTGGGGGTTAGGGGGGTCGGCTAGGGTCATGGGTAAGGGCTGTTGGGCAAGTTGGTTCGTGGTTAGGAAAAAAATGTTTGGCTCGGAGATCAGAAGGCTGAGCTGGCACCGTTGAGATCCCACAATTGAATCGAGGCAGATGTCTGTGACTTCAACTCGCTATTTTGAGTGTCCCGTAGTGTGGTGAGTTCGTGATCTCAGGCCCAGTCACCAATGACCGTGTAAACCAAAAAAACATCTTATTAAATTTTCTTTTGCACCTAATTTGGCCGAATGTCAACTCTGAGAATAAAAAAAACTGGTTGTGACTGCCATGCGTTCAACATTACACCCCTCACTCATCTTTCCTACTTCGTTCCTCAAAAAAAGAATCCATTAGCTTTTATTTCTCTATACCATAACGCACTTTTGTTTAGTCACAACGAATTCTGTTCATGTCGAAAGACCCCTTACATAACTATAACAACCAATCTCTCTCTCTCTCTTTCGAAAGAGGCAATTAATCATAATGAACTTTCACCAGGTTAAACAAAGGGCACCGACTTACAATTATACATGGTACACAAATGCTTCATCTGATGAAAATCACAAGTCATTTATTTACCAGAAAAATGTGAGTCTCCAAACTTTACTTCGGGAGAATCCTGCATTGAGATGTTTGGCCAATTTCATTTTCAAACGTGTTTTCCTCTAAGGAAAGAGGGGAGCAGACAGATGCAACCCACAAATAGATCACGTCTAAAGATCCGCACAGATGGGTTCACAAATCCACTTTCCGCGTTCACATTTTCTGGACAACTGGCTGTGTAAGTTTCACGCACCGTTGTGATCCACCGACGCTTGTCTCCAAAGTTTGCTCGACAGACTTAATCTCACCAGGTGCAAATCCAGTGAGATCACAAGTCTCCTTTGCTGGGCTATAGGTGTCCCCCCCACCCCACCGCGCCCACTCCAAAACCTCCACCTCACCAGACATCATGTAACCAGATGAAGTACCCATTCAGATCTCTTGCAGAGCAGTGCCACCCGTCGTGTTAGAGAATGGCCCACAGAAGCAGTTATCACAGAACAGCGTCTGAGATGCCTTCAAATGACGTGTTCCATAAAGTTGGCAGCAATTGATCACCGACTCTGCCATGAGAGTAATGTTAGACTCATGACAGCCAAAACAGATTTTTGTTTTGTTTTAATTGTTAGCGCTGGTGGCCCAGATTGAGTGCAGAACCAACTTTAATGCGATGGTTTTATACGTAATGTCATTAATGACCGGAATGAGACCATCACCATTGCTTGATTATGTATTTAAAACTCTGGTTGGCTTTTTAAGTCACATTTATGTTTTCAACAAGGCAAACAAAGACGGAACAGAACTAGGCGGTATGCACGCGATTCGAAGCAAACTGAATAAGTGAAAGTAATTCTAGAAAGGCCTCAGTTGTGATCTAGAGTACAGGGATGGGGAACGTCCGGCCCACGGGCCATATAAGGCCCGCGAAATAATTTGGTCTGGCCCTGCCAAGGCAACTGCACTACTCGAAATTCAATCAATCTAGGAGCTTTTTACATAGCAACATAAATTTCTTTTTTTTATGGCCCGCGAATGATGTTATAAATATCCAAATGGCCCTTGGCAGAAAAAAGGTTCCCCACCCCTGAAATTCTAGACAAACACATCGACACGCCGAGGGCGTGGAAGGTGAAAGCAGAGATGAATGGGAGATGACAAACACCTCAGCCGTGGCAGATCACTGTTACAACTCAGTGGGCTCACATGACATTGACTTCTCCAAGACAGAGGTTCTCTGCAAGCCATCTGGCTATCATGAGAGATTCGTTCATGAGGCGATCCACATATACAAACACAGAGACAATTTTAATCGAGAAGATGGATTCTGGCTTAGCAATCACTGGAAGGACGTAATAAACCATTTTGATACACATTAGGGTGGGTAGAATAATACATAGTGTTATAGCAATACAGTATGTAATTTAATGTTGGGTTTGCCTATGGCAGTATATAGTACGGTATAGACGCGTGTGATGTAAGAGAATAAAGTTTAGATGGAAGCATATTATATAATTTTTTACAACGTAGAAATTTTTTTTATGTATTACTTACTGTTAGTAACTCAACTTATTGTAGAGTATAGTAAGTATACTGATGATGCTATGTAGTTTATGCTTTAGTTTGTTATGCAGTTTATACTTTAGTTTTTTACGTGGTTGTTTAGTAACTGCAGCTACATACTATTAACATTCCTTTCCTTTGTTAATGCTACCCCCCCCCCCCTTTGATGCTGCTAATCCTGCATAATGCACGGGCATAGTATTGATTTGGACCCCCCCCCCGCCCACCTCCTACGCATTTTCCATATGCTGAATTCCTCTTGATATGCAAATTATTTTGTTTAGGCGCTCTTCTTCCCACCTCCCCCCCTCTAACCCAGCTTAAATATACGCTCCAAGCTTGGTGGTGCTTCATTCTTCGCCTGAGGACGGCTGCTTGCGTTGTGGCCGAAACGTCGTGAGAATTGTTTTATTATGTTTTATTTTTATTATTTTATTACTTCCCTTCTACGTGACTTTACCGAAAGAACCAAGAAGATTGTTTCTTTTTGTTTGCATTTTGACTGCTTGTGTTGTGGTTATGGCAAACATGATGCCTTGGTATAAAGGTGTCAGTTTTTGTACCAGTTGAAAGGGTAAAAACCTATCACCATATTTTGCCACTGGTAAAGGAGGTCTCATAGTGTGAATCTTACTAGATTAGGCTGTGTCGGGTGGTGGCGGGTTTAACGACACATATTTACGCGATCTAACCCCCGCAAAGAAAAAAAACCTGTATTATGGATGAAATCATAACTCTGCTATTCGAACTCGCAC